CACAGCTGCCACCTGTCAAATTCTTTGTTATTGTTGTTTGTTTTTGTGTAAGTTCAGTGACAATATAAATTAACTACCATCATTGACTATACACAGAACCATATATAAGTATATAAAATATAAATATACAAAAATATAAATTAACAATATTAACTACCTCGTTAATAAAAAACTGTTCCAAGGTTATGCACGCCTTTGATCAATAGAAAATCTGCTCTAAAACCAGCTTGTGCAATTTTAAATCCGGCCGTTAATAACACATGCATCACCTATCTGGGAATTATATACTTAAAAAATAAACTGTTCAAAATTCAAGTAATCCAAAATAAAATTCTTAGAATAGCAGTGAATGCTCCTTGGTACGTTAGAAGCAACCACATACACAAAGAGCTTGGAATAGAGTCTGTCTCGATCTTCATTTAAAAATCCTCCTTCAAATTTCTAAATTTTCTAGACAATAATGTTCCTGGAGCACAGGCATTCAATCTTGGCGAAACCACAGAAAATAGAAGCCGAAGGCTTCCACAAGACTTCTTGTTGGATGAAGCCTAGAGAAAATTGAACAAGTGACCCGCATCTAAATTCACAATGTTACAGGGTCAAGTTTGAGCGAACCCGCAATGTTATTTATGTTATTTTATTTTTTTCTATTTTGTTAAAACTTCTGTGAATAATGTAATACTAGTGTACATGTTGCTCGAATTCGAGCAATTGCAAAGTATTACAGGAGTTGTGGAGTTATTTCAAAATGAATAACAGTCATATTTACAATGAGTCTTGACAGGTGCTGACTGTGTGATGAGTTAAGCCTATTACGCGCCACCGTTCTGTAGCTACGGTCGTTATCACGATTACGCCTCCTGTCTATGTTTCGTTGTCGTCGCGTCAGAGGCATCTAAAAGAAAAGAAACAACAAATAAACAAATTATAGCTACACAAAACAACGATAAATGCACAAATTTAAGTTACAATCATACTAACACGAGCCGTCATAGCGACACAATACAACGATAAATACACAATTTTTAGATACAAACACTAACATGACCCGTCTTGGGGGTTATGTTTACACAAACTCAAATAGTAAATAAATGTACTCAATGCGTTTCATTGAACTGGAAAATAAATAACAGCAATTAAATTATACAGCTGATCAAAATGTAAACAATTATGTTCCTCAAAAGGATAACATGGGAACTTTCAAAACCACTGGGGCAGAGCCCAACGGACTTAAAAAAAATGTAAGGCCAGTTTGCAAATCTACGCGACACGCTCTTTCCAATGAGACGTCAATGGATAAAATCGGTTAAGAAATGGCGGAGGAGTTCAACCGACAAAGTTTCATGTAGCGTATTAATTATATAGATTAAACCAGAAACAAATGTTGTAAAACAAATATACAGGGTGAGTTTTAAATGCCCCCCCCCCAACTTTTTTCTACATTTTTTCAAATATCAATCCCAGACCACTTCCAAACATTGTTGGGTAGTAAGTACTTCATTTTGACAAGGTGGTCATTTCTGGCCGCCATCTTGGATCTGCCATATTGGTTGCAAAATATTTTTTTCAAAAGTAAAGGTGGGGTTGTGATCCATTATTTTGAACTAGATTTTTACCCTGATTACAATGCAATAAACCGTTTCAAAAAATCTTGATTCATTCCAAAGTTATGAGGGCTTTTTAAAACTTTATTTTTAGCTCATTTTAACATTGTGCATTTACAAACTAAGGACCATAATCTCAAAATAGTGCTAGATAAAGATAAATATACACTACCAGTCATTGTCAACTTATTTTCACTTGGTTATGACTGATGTAATTTTTTTCGGCCGCCATCTTGGATCCGCCATTTTGAAATATGATAAATTATTTTAAATAAGAAGGGGGTGTTGTGACCCATCATTTCGGATTACTTTTTTAAGCTGAACTCAATTCCATGATCCGTTTTTCATTTTCATATTTTGATTTTGAAATATTCACATTTTTAACAAAAAAAATGCAATATCTCATAAATAAAACTTGATAACAAAAAAAAATGATTGCGGCATTGAGTTTAGCATAAAAAAGTAGTTCGAAATGATGGGTCACAACACACCCTTCATATTTAAAATAATATATCACATTTCAAAATGGTGGATCCAAGATGGGGGCCGAAAAAAATACATCAGTCATAACAAAGAGAAAATATGTTGACAATGACTGGTAGTGTATACTTATCTTTATCTAGCACTATTTTATTTTGAGATTATGGTCTTAGTTTGTAAATGCACAATGTTAAAATGGGCTGAAAATAAAGTTTTAAAGAGCCCTCATAACTTTGGAATGAATCAAGATTTTTTTTAACGGTTTGCGGCATTGTAATCAGGGTAAAAATCTAATTTGAAATAATGGGTCACAAGCCCACCTTTACATTTGAAAAATAATATTTTGCATCCAATATGGCGGATCCAAGATGGCGGCCGGAAATGACCACCTTGTCAAAATGAAGTACTTACTACGCAACAATGTTTGGAAGTGGTCTGGGATTGATATTTAAAAAAATGTAGAAAAAAGTTGGGGGGGGGGACAATTAAAACTCACCCTGTATATATATATATATATATATATATATATATATATATAAACAACAACAATAACAAAGAATTTGACAGGTGGCAGCTCTGTGAATTAAAAGCAGCACTGTCCGGATCGGTGGGCAACGACACATGCACGACTGAGGCAACCTCTTTTTCAGTAGCCTTGTACAGAACTAACAATAAATTCGGCTTCAGCTGTTCCTTAAGGATGAGAAATCTACCAAGGGAGTATGTTTTATCCATGTCTATGTTTTTAGCGAATTTCCCATATAGGGAAATAGCTATTACCGTAGTACTCATGGTAAGACCTGGACGCGGGACCGATTTTTTTTTTTCGTTTTGAAGTCCCTAGAGGCCAAAAACACCATCCATTCAAATTCATATTTATACAAGAGGTTCTACCCGCGAATTCACGGGTGTACAGAAGCCACCATTAAATTAATTTAATCAACTTTGACTTTATATTTCATGTAAAGGGCCCAAGTTCAAAAAAATTGTCATCTAAAAGGATGTTAAAAGCAGTGGAACCTTCATACCTTGTGTCCTGAGGTGGCCAAGGTGGGTACGGTTGTACCTGAACTCGCCCCTCTCTTTCACGGCGTCTTTAATACTTTACTTAAATACTTTTCAATGAAATATGGCGACCTGTTAAAGATCAGTGACAACCTCTTGGAACGAACAACATACATGGTTTGTTAATCTCATATTCATCGTGTATCGAACACCTTTAATAACTCACTTGTATCAAACAGCTAGAAATAGCTTCACTGTCCATTCACCGCACCTCTTTTAAGAACATAAAAGTAAATAATAAAATAAGTAAACAAAAATGTAAACAAACAAACTATATTGTCAATTGCATTGGCCAGCTGTTGTTCACTAAATTAATCGAATGACGTTAACTTCCAAAACATGCAAGGCGTAGCCCTTTGGAAATCAGCCTGTGGGGCACATTCATAAGGGAATTCGTCCATATCAATACTTTTCGGCAAATCTACACACTCTAAGCTTCATTTTGATATGCCATATGCCTATATTTTTATTTGGTAAATTACCTTAACCGCTTACATAAAATTTGATTGTATCACTTTAATAATATAATAGATATGTGTCCGTTAGCACGATAACTCGAGCAAAAATGATCCGATTTTGATGAAATTTGGTATGAACGTGTAAACCTACATTTATTCGAACGAGTTCGCGAACCAGCATGATCGGACTATGGGAACGAGGATTTACGGGGGTTTTATGGGGTAAAAATAGGTTTTTCCCATTTTTGACCCAAAAAAAAACATAAAATTTTGCAATTTCTTTCCAAACTATTTTGTAGAGCTTAAAAAAACAAATAATTTAGTTTACTGAAGCGTTATTATGCGCCTAATAGTTACGGATAAAATTAAAAAAAAAAAATTTTAATTTAAAATTCCCGTGTTATTCTTATGGAGAACAAGTAAACTGTTGTAGTTTGCTTGTTTATGAACATATTTTGATCAAATTTGGAAAATGTTTTTATTTCTTACTAACTATTAACATTTTACAAAAAAAAACTGTTTTACCCTCCCCGATGCAGCAAACCTAAGTACTTGTTAAACTAATTCTATTTAAATAGGAAATAAATGTTATATTTTTAAGTAGGTAGACATTTTAGTGTAAATCCAATCAGGCAAATGGAAATTCACTTAGTCTGCAGGTTTGCTGCGGCGGGGGTATTTTATCTTGCTACCACAGCTGTATACAGACTAGCTGAGATTAGAACTTTTCAGCCACCATGATAGTGTTTTAGTTGCATCTACTACTGTGGTAGAACAAATAAGAACATTCTTATTGGTTTTTGTACCAGTACAGCTCTCATAGTAGATAGCTTGTGTTTTTAGGGTTTATACAAAGGGCAATTGAATGCATTGGAATGGCAAAGCAAAAGCTGTTGTCAAAGTCTACCGGTACTAAAAAGATTATTATGTGAATGTTCTTTTGCTGGTGAAAGTGAGAAAATGAAAATATACTGAATTAAATAGGAAAAAAATACCCCCGCTGCAGAAAAACCTGCAGACTAAATTTCCATTTGCCTGATATAGTTTCATTAAATATTTCCTTAAAATGTCAGATTAATTCCCTATTTAAATAATGTTAGTTGAACAAGTAAATATATTGGCTACTACAGGTATTTCCCCATAAAATATCAAACATACACCCACCGCTTACTCATGGGCCATAATAAGGGTTTTTGACAAGCTAATCAATCGGAGAATGTATGTGTCAGATTGCTGATACTGTTTATTTTACTACCGGTATAGGACTTTTGCCTGTGTTAAAGTATTTTAATATATTACCTTAGTACTGTAAAGATTAAATTGAAGTTAAACTTAACTTTCCCTTGAGATAACAAGGTCCCACTGTACGCACTCACTCATGACAATGTTTAAGGTTCAGAAGTCCAATGCTGCCAAAGAATCCTATATTGCAACACACGATAAAGAATCTGGTACACAGTGTGATTCGAACATCGAGATGTTGAAGCAAGAAGTGTCTAGGCTAACTGATAAAGTGGACAGTGAGCATGCAGAGTGGGAGAGAGAGAGGGTACAATGGGCCCAAGAGAAGGAGAAAGTGCTGAGTTACCAGCGGCAGTTGCAACTCAACTACGTGCAGATGTATAGACGCAACCGATCGCTGGAGAGCCAGCTACACAGCTTTACGCTGGAGTCACAACCACAGAGCCGGACCAAAGTTGTGTCTTTGAACGCCATTCAATTATGAACATAGCAAATTAATTCATACACAAGTTTTTAAGTTTGTAAATAATTATTGTAACTAATGATGAAGTGTAAATTGTAAATTTGTACTTTTTGGAAATTATTAAAAGTAATCAGCAGTTAATTTAACCAAACAGTGACTGATACTTTAAAAACCTACACCCAATTAAAAATACCGGTACTTAGTAATGTTTCAAGATTTGCAAAAAAATTTATCTTGGAGTTTGTACCGATATAAGGAATGGTGAGTTTTTAGTTTGGTCATTCAATCCATATATTAAGTCTGGAAAACGGATACTATATCTCGAATTTTTTAACAAAAACCATACCTATCCATATTTTTTTACTTATATTAGTAGCAAAACACGGCTTTGCCTGGCTACAAATACAATGTAGGTACAGTAATGGTCAAAGAATCAGTTTTTTTCTGTTTCATAGATGTACACAAATCTTTCTTATGGTGGTAGAACATTATAGACCATGCAACTATTGTACACATTTTCATATTTTATTCTCAAAGTCATAAAACACCCTACAATATTCTAGATAACCATGGAAAACTCTGAAATAATGTAGATTATAAAATAATGTATTATATTTACATTATAACATACTAGCAGAGTACCCGTCCTTCGTACGGGGTCGGCATATAAGTATAAAATGCTTATTGCAGTTATTCTCGAGCTTTGCATTTGCAATGGGGGAGGACACAGTTTGATAAAATTTGCTTCTTTAAATTTACTGTATACCATAGTATTACCATAGATAAAACATACTCCCTTAGTAGATTTCTCATCCTTATGGAACAGCTGAAGACAATTTTATTGTTAGTTCATGTACGGTTTATGAAGAGGTCGTGATTTGTTTACAATTTGTTTCCCGTTATTACAGCCATTTAAAACCTTGTTTAACCAAATAATACGATCTAATCATAAACAATAACTTGTCCCCTAGCTATATAACCAAAAAGTAAAGCACAAATCAAGAAATTAACCCTAAAATAATGGAAACAAAGTTTCATCGACACTAGCGCCTTTGTGTCACGTACATGAACTAGACACGAAAAACGTGCTTCAAAATTTACAATGGGATGAGAAGTCTACTTGTGTTGGTTAGTCTATGGTATTACACAATACACATCTACCATAGCCATGATGTTCTACCACTTCACCTAAACAATAGAGAAAAATAAATGATTAAAAAGTTTGAAAATATCACAAATTATTCATGCAATTAAAAACATAAACATAACTGTAAACAATCCTACTTTGACAGTTCTCATTGCGTATCACAGTTTTTAGCGAATTTCCCATATAGGGAATAAGCTAATACCGTAGTACTCATGGAAAGACCTGGACCCAGACCGATTTACTTTTTCGTTTTGAGGTCCCTAGAGGCTAAAAACACCATCCGTTCAAATTCATATATCTATATATATAAAATCCAATGTATGTTTGTATGTATGTTTGTTTGTTTGTCCTTTATGGACTCCGAAACCGCTCGACAGATTATAATGAAACTTTCAGGCTTTATTAAGCATTATTCAAGGATGGTTTGTGTGAAGTTTGGTGCAGATCCGTCTAAAGGGCTCCGCCCCAGTGGCTCTGGAGTTTCCCATGTTGACCTTATGAGTACTCATATTTAAATGGAATTAAAGAATCTTAACAGCTGGTTCAACTAATCAATTTGATTCTGTGATGCTCAATACATTAAAAAGTTAATAGGTTTACCAACAGGGTGCAGCACTATAATTTTTTTTTTAATTTATGACAACAGCTAATTTTTAACCAAAAGGTGAGTGAGCATAGCGAACGAACTTCAACCTGGAGGCGAGTTAGCGTAGCGTACGAGCTAAGCTGAAGGAAAGTGAGCGCAGCGAACGAGCCCCCTCCTAAAGGTGAGTGAGCATAGCGAACGAACTTCAACCAGGACGTGATTGAGCCATGCGAACGAGCTCATCTTGAAAATGAACGAGCTTTTGACATTATACCACATTAGGACAGGACGACGTCTGTCGGGCCAGCTAGTATATATATATAAGTAGATAGTATTTTGACATTCCTAGACAAAAAAAGTACGAATAAAATTTTTTTTATATATACAGTTTTTTTTAACAAAACCTGTTAAATTTTTGCCTTTTTAGGCTGATTTTTAACTTTTTCATAATTTTCATAAAAAAACATACAATTTTGATAGAATTTTACTAAATAAGCTATGATTTTCACAAAGTTGTCTACAGAACAAAAACTAGTGAACAAACTGACACAACTCGATCTACAATAGTTGACACAAATAGTTGGTTCACTAGATGATAACATAAAAGATTAGATAAATGGTACTATGATCGTCCCATCCTCAAGGTTTTTCGTCAGGAGCGCTAGTGTTTATCAAGCAGCCAATTCTGCATTTGCCGATCACCTGATTAATTATAACCACGATGTCTCAAATATTGATAAAACCATCGATGTGCTACATTTTCACAAAAAAAGAGGCCGTTTTCTTGACACTATAGAAGAATATGAGATTTTCAAGGCCGGCAAAAAATCCCCCCAACACATTCTTAACGAAAAAACGTCGTTTGAATCTGACATAATTTATGAAGCAGCTGCAATGATAGAAGAATTATCAGAAGACAAAGACGCTGATAACAATGTGAGGGGTAGGGGGGGAGGGAAAGGACACGGCGACGGTCAGTCTAGACCTACACCCTGAACCTGCAGCCGCGCCGTGAGAATTAGTGTTCTTGTATGGCCATACTGTTTTATTTATTTGTAAATATGCTTGTGCGTGTCTCGTGTATTTATTTTCAAGACTTTATGACGACCTCCTAGGAGTGACAACACGTCTTTAAGGCTTGACAATGACACCATGAGTGTCGAAACCGGTCGCCATCCAGACGACAGTGGATTACAGTGGCAACAATAAGGTATTTAACCTCTAGAATAATATTGTTAAGTAATCCGGAAGGCAACACCTCAAACATCAAGTAGATCATTTATGAAGATCAGGAACAGGGTTGCAGAGGTCGTTGACCCTTGGGGAACACCCTTCTTTACAATGAGTGAATCGCTGAGGTTGTTGATTTAATTTGCTGCTTTCTTCCTATAATAAAACTACAAAACCAATTTAAAGCTATGCCTCTAATTCCTGCAGCCTCTAGCTTGTTGATAAGAATCTCATGGTTGACCATGTCAGACCTGTGGTTTTTTATTTGAATTAAAGCGATTAAATATTAACTCTGTCACAGTTAATAATGCGCTTTCCGTTGCTCTGACTTTTATAAATCCAAACTGCTTATGGAAAAAAAATTAATCTGTTCAGAAATTTCGTTAATCTTAATAACATTAATTTTTCAATCAATTAATTTGAAAAAAAAAACAGAAAGAAGGCTAATTGGTCTGAGGTTGTCTAATCGTAATGAATTGTTTTTTTCAATATAGGAACAACTGAACTTAGCTTTAAGCTCTGTGGGAAAATACCTTCAACAAAACTATTATTGATTATGTGGACCAGTGCCGGATTTACCACTAGGCCGGATTAGGCCGTGGCGGATCATCTTCAAATGGTCCAAAATCGTTTGGTCCAACGTTTATATTGCCGTTCGTTTGTTCCAAAATTGTTTGGTCCAACGTTTATATTGCCGTTTGTTTGGTCCAAAATCGTTTGGTCTAACAGTAAAAAACTCGTTCGTTTGGTCCAAATCGTTTTATCCAACACTTTAATACGAGTTTGTTTGGTCCAACAGTATTTAAAATATTGCGTCCCTCACAGTGAAGGCGTTCAAATATCCGCCGTTGTATACAATAATAATATTAATACAATTTTTGTTCTGAACATGCCGACTTTCTATGTTTTAAACGTTAAATACACCATGTTTTGTAGTATTCAAATCACTAAAGCGTACATAAGCAGACTTAAAGCTCAATAGTGTATCATACGGTTGGAAATCTTATAAATTAACAGTTTTTATTACATTTGGCAACCTTCTAATATACAGAGTGTATAGAAATTCAGTGGACCAACGTGTTTTAAATGTTTATCATACAACTTAATTTTTATTGTTATATCTATATACAATGGAGTGTTTACTATTGATCCTCCATCGTTATCTATAATTCTTAATCAAAAGTTTAAAATAGAACATGAAAATTATATTAATTAGTCTACTCATATTTCCTGGACGTCCACAATTTCCTGGTAAAAATTTGGTCTTACAGAATTATATATAAGGATCTTATTTTCTTATGTTAAAATTGATGTTCATCTGTATAATGTCATGTTTTATAATGTTCCATTACGAATAATTGTATAATCTTAATATTACAGTAACTCTTTTAATGATTTCTTATTGCATTATGTTATATCTATTGTACTGGTTGGTGTCTGCCATTTTGACTACTTTTGACTAGATGATATCGTTGGTATTCTTGGGACTATCTACTTCAAACTTATCACTTATGATTGTTCCGTCGATGTTTTTTATAGTCAGTCTAGTTCCGTTGCACAGCTTGGGTGGACCTGAGTTTCACATTAGTATTATTGGCATTCCTTCTTTTAGTTAAAGAAGCAAATTTTATCAAACTGTGTCCTCCCCCACTGCAAATGCAAAGCTTGAGTATAACTGCAATAAGCATTCATACTTATATGCCAACCCCGTACGAAGGACGGGTACTCTGCTATATTTAATATATAGATAAATTAAATAAACCATCTGTTTAACATTAAATGCAAACTCAAAGCAAATTCAAAGTTTATCCACAAATCTAGGGAATTAAAACGTGTTGTTAAAAAGTAAACAGGACACTAGCACATTATATATAAATAAATATATGGATATGTACGTGTATATAAATGCAAACATATCAATTATTTAGAAACATAACACAAAACAACAAATAGGACTCAAAAGGCAGGCAGTTGGGTTGACGACGTGACGGCGATTATTTGAACGCCTTCAATGTGAGGGACGCAATAGTTCATACTGTTGGACCAAACGAACTCGTATTAGAGTGTTGGACCAAACGATTTTGGACCAAATGAAATACTCCCGCCGTGGCCTAGGGCCGCAAGCAAAAGGATTAAGCAGAGGATTGAGAAAAACATTTTTTAGATCAACAAATAATTAATTTTTTTA